ATCTTGTATACCTTCACATAAAAAAGCAATAAAACTGTTAACAAAGACGCTGCACTGTCACACCTCGTTTAGCAAGTCTATTTCGTGGTCGTTCAGCGATACAGATCGGTGACTGACACCCATACTTTGAATTACAGTAATATGCCACACTTTTGTGATTTCTGTTGTCTCATTATAGCGTGATGAAACATCAGTTTGATTAAACGAAGGAATAAACGAACTCAAAGAACAACGCGCACGGTGTATTCCTACGTGTGTCTCCAGCCTTCCCTTCAAATCGGTCAAGTGCTCTTTTAATCTTACATCCAGGCATCGGCCAATTTGAACGACATAGCAGCCGAATTTGAATACAATCTTATAAACTACATTTTTTTTTGCACTCGACTACACGATCATCAAAACGCTTGGAAAGTTTATTGCTGATAATTCTAGGCCTGTCTCCTTAGGCTGGTCATTGTGAACATTTCGCTTGTTCCTTCGTGTTTTGTGCGCAAACATTTCATTACGCTCCTTTAAAGCGGTGTTCGGCATTGGGTTATCTGCTAAATGATGCTCGTAATAAATTAAAAATGGATCAGTGCTAGAATAATTACAAAGAATGAGATTTAGACAAGATATATGCTGTAATCACAACCTAAACCATGAACAACAGTTCTTGGCGAGTCCCTACGAAGTATCCAAGAGGGTTTTTATGATTTTTTTCATGTTTCCTAGGCCTGCTTGAATGACAGGTTATAAACGTATTATCTTTTTATATTTATGGCATGATCATTCATTGACTCTTACCCCTGCTTAGGTCACTGGGCAATCCTCTTAATTAAACTTCATTAGCCGCGCACTAAAAGTGCAAAATTATGAAATTGCTTCCGGCTGACAGCTAGAGGCAATGGGCAATGCCTGAAGTGATTGACTGACTTGTTTTTTAAGTAACATGTTCTCTCTCTCGAAGCTAGAAAGAAGCTTTGACTGCCATGTTTTGGCAATAAATACTCAATCACTAGCGTCTGCTACGTCACCAGATATCAATGATTTTGCTTATATTGAGGCGACGAGAAAGTATCGAAAAAGGAGCCAAGAAAATTATTTTTCTTTCGCCTCCGTCCTGAAAGAAGTGGCCAAATTGGCTCAATGTGTCCAAACCTACCAACCGTACGTAGAAGGCATCCCGAAGCGGACTGTCCAATCGCACAGGAGAGCCCTTGCAACCATCTCCTGGTGATGCCTTCGATACGGACGGCCTTCACTCTGGCAGGAGGATCTGTCCACACCGTTCAGCAAAGTGGTAGTGTGCCGGCAAGTTGGCAATGTGCCGACGATGGCATGACGAAAGCGAGAGTACGGCGTTGGGAGTGTTCCCAGTGTTGTCGAGGTGTTGCGCTGTATCTTGTAGCGCTGGAAAGCTACACATTTACGTGTCAAGCGCTGGAAGTCCCGATTAATGAGTGACCAGACAAATCTTGCCGTCACCAATCTTTGGCTGGTTCTGATCCCTTGACGAGACAGTCTGTTGAAGGATTCGAACACGTGGCAACATGGCCCTTTAAGTCAATCCAGTCTGGCTTGAACACAACTGGGTTTAACGGTAGCCTTGCTAAATCAATACCTAATCAAACAATGGGTCTAAATATTTCAGCTCGCCCATTGCCACTAGGAAACTGGAAAAACTTTCGCGGAAGTAGGAATGGCTGGGTTAACACACCGCAGAGCCACAAAAAAACTAGTGTTGCGCTATTAGGCCATCTTCGTCGAATGCACGGTTGACATGCTCGAAGTGGCTCGGCGGCTTCCGTTCTCCGCCCGCCACACCTTGCTGAATTTATCGTTCCCATAGTTGGCGCGCCAAACAATCGCGATGACTGAGCTTGATCTAACTTGTAATATCGCTGAGAGAGTGGCGAGAAGAAGCGGAGGCAAGTGCTACGTAATCAAGTCAACCATTTCCCATGCACGCGTCGCCTGAAAATTCACACAAAAAAGAAATAAATAAAAAGACGTACAAACAAAAGCAAAGTGTTTTACATAAGTATCTAATTTCTTTATTTGTGAAAACTTGTGGAAGCCATCAATTGCGCACATTGATCAACCACAACCCGTTCAACCAGATCTTAGCATGCCTGGCAACCGCTACTAGCATGTGTGTTCCTTGAAACCGAAAATAATGCGGAGTCTCCGGGGCCTGGCAATGCATGGTTGAAGGCGCAACCTGTCCTCCCTTTTCGGCATCTTTCCAAAACACCAGCTCAATATTTTTAGGACTCCGAGAATACCAATATTTGCAAGACCGTTATTGCGTCTCCATACGGTGTAAGACAAACACTTTTTTATACACCGTGCGTCTTCCAACATGCCCCAGGTCATGCCCCAGGTTTTCCGACACCGGAGCTTGAACAACTGGGAGATGGCTGTCAGTGGTCGTTTCATCTAAGACACATACGGGCTCCAACGGAGGTCGTACTACACCAAACATTGTTTTACACGCACGTGCACATCGAATGAAAGTGCGCACATCTTTAGTTCGATGCGGGCTTCCCGTATCAAACAATGTTTAGTGCAGTACATTACCTGCCCTTCTTACAATGGTTCAAGCAGAAACGTAAAATCCTGGAAGGCCTTATTACGCATCCACAACGCCGAATAATAACATAATGTCATCAATCTCGTTATGGCTATGGCCGAATTCCAAGCGATTGCTGCTGGTGGCTGAGGATTTATTTATATGTGGGGTTAACGCCCCAAAACCACCATAGGATTATGAGAGACGCCGTTGTAGAGGGCTCCGAAAATTCGGACCCCCTGGGGTTGTTAAACATGCACCCGAATCTGAGCACACAGGCTTACAGCATTATCGACTCCATCGAGAATGCAGCCACCGCCGCCGCGATTCGATACCGCGACCTGCGGGTCAGCAGCCGAGCACCTTAGCCACTAGACCATGGTCGCAAGGCCACGCCTATAGGGCGACGAACAGGGGCAGATGCCAAGGCCTTCTCCCCCGCCATTCTCGACAGTAGCGAATAAATGTTACTTTTCTCTCTTTCTCACCGAAGTCTAAAGAAAAAGAAAATTCAAGAAACGACTTTGCCTTTCCAGACTTGTCAATTATTCCTTTTTTTTTTTGCAGCCAACCTTTACACTCTTCGTTTATGCAAATTCTTGAGTTATAATAAAGCGACAGATGTGTAGCATGCAAAAGCATTACTTACTAGGTGGATGCTTTTAAAGTTGGCTTTTAGATGCGAAACAGCTTATATCGAGGCTCAGGTCAGTGGGCGTAACCACCCTTAATGCGCATGCAAACCAGCTGGCCCAAGCGCTGGTTAGTGTACAATCATGGTTAATGTACAATCATGGTCAAGGTACAGTTATGGTTAGTTTTTTGGGGTGGGGAATGGTGAGGGCGAGGCGCTTCTACTTTTGTATGTTATGAAGTGTGCGTAAAGAGCTCATAGGGCTGGTATTTTGTGGTGCGCGTGAGATGGCGACGAGGTGTGTGGTGCTCGTTCATTCGAAACTACGTGAGCACGCGGCGAGAAGAGCCACGTGAGCGGGAAAAAGAAGAGCCGCGTGTGGACACAAGGCTAAGGGGCGGAAAGTAGGGTGCGTGTAGTAGAGTGCCACGCGGTTGCGAAGGTGGCGTTGAATTGGGGAGAAGCAGGGTAGAGGCAGTGCGCCAACGTCGCGGTCGTGCTTTGCCCCGAGTACCAGGCCGAGGGCAAGAATCGAAGCGGCCTGCTTCGCTTGACCTCAAGCTTCGGTGGTCCGCGGAGCCAGCAGGAAGATACCGCAGCCACCAGATCACGATCGTGGTTCGCCCCGAGTACTTGGCTGGGGTCTTTGACCCACGCATCCAAGAAGACTGGCTGAATACGTCGGCCTCGTCTACGACACCTACCTGATCCACCGTGCCTACCTCTCAGGGTCGCCTGTATCGTTGCAGGATTCCTCCGACGACAGCACTCCTGTGCTCCTATCGACTCACCGTAGACATCCCCGACGCCTCAGTATCAATACTCACCGGTGAGACTGTGTCGGTTACGGTTGGACTAAGCTTGTTTTTGTCGACCGCTTAGAGCTCTGTACATAGGTTGTAAGATGTTTCGTTCTCGTTAGTGCGTGTTGTGTGTCTTATGTTCGTGTGGGGCTTTGATAAAGTGAGGGATACAGAAAACAGCCTCACCATTTTTAATAAGAGCGTTGCTGTTCCCGATGCAACGTGCTCTCATACCTCCATCTATTCTAAAGAACCTCATCATAGATGTCCGATGGACAATACAAGCGTGTCATTAGTGGTACAAGCTGTTTCATCTCCACGCACCTGTGCTTCTGAAAAGGGCTCTACACTATCTTTTTCGCGTGCCAACTTTCGCTCAAGACAACCATGCAACAAAAAAAACGTGGGAGCTTTAAAATTTGGAGACAACCACCAGCGCGGCGTGATAGAAGCTGCAAGTGCCTGATAGCTTGCCTTCTGGCGGGCCATTCCCAAGGACGACCTATGCCGCCCGGTGAGCAATACGTGGCATAGTTAAAAATCGTGACTCGATGCTCGAGGCCTATAGAGGTAGTAATACTATTAACATGTTATTTTATGTTTGTTTATGTTAACCGCATCCACACATACGCAGCACTGACGTCACTCTGGCGCACGCGTGTTTGTGGTGGTTGATGGGTAACGTAATTAAGAACCAGTGTCTAGTAGTATGGCCAGAAATTTTTCCGTAACGCCGGGTGGTGGGGTAGGGGTGCATAATATAAACTCCTGTTGTAGATCAAGAAAACGCTTATTCCATTATGGTTAAAAAAAGTTTAGGAAAAGTCGTAAGGTTGAGCTTAGAGAAAGGAGGAAAATGCGGTGGCTTGAAGTGATGAAAAATCGTTCAACAGAGAATTTCACTGGTGCCTGTCAGACAAGAGGATTTGTCTGCGTCAAGGTAACCTGGAAAAATGAGCGATCTTTCAGAGGTTTTCTTTCATAATAGAGAGGAATTGTACGAGCCATATTTTTTTGTGTTGCATACTTTTTTATAATAAACTCTCACAACATCAACTCACGGGTGCACTGGCACAACGAACAGCAAGTGGGGATTCGAAAAAAAAAAAACAGTGCTGAAACACGATGACAGGATGCGCGAAATATTTAGAGAGTGCTCCTGGAAACCGTGTTCGTGACGAATAACTTAGTAACAGTCTGTACAAAGGAAAATTAAGCAAGTGATAAGAGAAGGTCTCATTACACATCACATTCATTCCCAACAAAAGATGGAAGCAGAGGTGAATCTCTCTGTGGTTCTTGTCAGCAACACAGCCACAATAACAAATTCAGTTGGTGTATTCTACAATTAACTTTTAAAGCTTACACAGAGCCTATAAGAAAAGACAACACAGGTAGCTTTTATGTCAATCCAAGCAAACGCTCGTGCTGAAGAACAACCACCTCATTCACCCAGATATTTATACTCGCCAAGCAGCCTTTTTAAGTCACATGCTTCAGCTGCAGGAGAACCATTTTGTTTAACTATCGCTTGAACAAATTTACTGAAATTTGTTGGAAATGAAACAAAAACAACCGATTACAGTCACCCATGGAAGATATTTGTAATATAAAAGCACTCACTTATTCGCTTCATTCTGAATTGATGAAATTAAGGTAACATAACCTTAACTATTATTTGGCATGTGGTTTCAAAACAAACGTTCTGCACAGGGATACTAGTAAATTAAAACACTCATGCAGTTAGAAGTTATTTGACCAGGCTCTGTAAGATGAAATTCGACCGCAAAAAAGTGAAAATGATGTCTAGAAAACTTCATTATTAATTTCAAAGTTCGGAAATTAGGCAAAAAAGATTATACTCGTTTGCAGATTTTTTTTTACTGTAACAAAACAAAAATATGTATATTTGATCGCACTGTAAATAGCGAGCGAGTATATCTATGTTCCCTCTTCTGTCAAAAGCTACTGACAACTGTCGAAGTTCAATGCAGCAGCGACAAGCATGATAGAAGCTCATAATATTATTAACACACGGGTGCACTAGCACAAGTAATATGAAAACGACGAAATAAGCAAATGACTGAATGCTTATAAAACACCTCCTAAAAATCATCACCCTCTTGACATATATTACCGTTTCCGAATCGAATCTCTTTTACGCCGCAGATATGAAAAACTGGACAGACTGCTTCACGAGTCACTTGCTTTTTGCTACCTGTGCCTCATTAGGACCGCATGGCACCAAATTATATTTTGTCACATACAGCTATGACATACAAGATGACTATGGCAACATGCGCAAGCACCATGCGCACGACTTTTTGCCAACTAGCACCAATGATGTGCGTTTCTTTTGACCTTTGGTTAATTAATTAGTTCTGTGCAGTACGTAAAAGAGCGGGTTATGGAGTATAATGAGTTGGAAAATATTCATAACTGTCGTGCTTAAAAATTTGTATCTCGCTGTTGCACCTAGTTGAAGTATATTCATCCACTTTTCTGAAGCTATGCAAAGCACATCTATACAGCAGGTCAAACATTTCCGGCTTGCGCTGTCAATTACAACACACATCACAAAATATAAAATGCTATGACTATCAGGGCTTAATACTTGTGTTCATAATCGGTCAGAAAAATAATGGCCATCGTGCGTCCAATGAGCCTAGTTTCTTGCAGGTTTAAGCTATTGGAAATGAACCTACAGCAGAAGCGCCGTTATATAGTTTGCTCGAGGATATATCTATCCATTTGGTAGTCTACAAATATGCTTGAAAGTACAACTAAGCTAGCAAGTGCCCCCTCCATTTATTCAATCTAAGATAATTAGAAAAACCAAAGTTTCATTGGAAACTTTAAGTTACGAAGTTCCTGTTTGACTACGCACAGATCCAGTGTTTTTAAGTCCTGACAAGGGCTCGTTTGTCCAGTGACACAGAGATTTGCCCTTAAAGCTACAATTTTTTTGTAACGGGGCCACAGTCTAAAACTACAGCTATGATGAGAAAATGAAACAATCGAGAGCTATCAATACAAGCAACACGGTATGGATCAGATTAACTGAGCCAGATAATTGAGAACTATTTAGTGACATTGAGCTTTTACGTGCACTACAACAATCACCAGTTTAACTTTCAACTGAATGGCGTAAAAAAATCAGCCACGTTCATCAGCTACTCGGTCTTAGCTATTAAACGTTAGAGTAGTTGTCACAAGACAGACTTGCTTTCTTAGGCGTGAAATGTTTTGGCTAATCAGCAGATTCGCTCGGCTTTCACTTGATTACAGTAGAGGAGTAGTCAGTTCAGCGTCAGAGTAGTCAGTGAGAACTGTTTTGAACATTTAAATTTGGGATAGGTTACCACAGACGTTGAGTTCCTGGTCACATACCTGAACCTAGTTCCTAAGTGAATATATCAATCGAAGAGGGCTTTGTAATAAAACTTTTTCATAAACTGAAGGTTTCCGTTTTTTTTTTTTGATGCGCCTTTAAATATAAACAATTCTACTTGCAGCGACCCTGTGAAGTCAAACACACAACGCTGTGTGTTTAATGCATGGGTGTGTGCGTGTGTGAGTGATCGTGTCAAGTTTTCGCGCTCTAATTAACTTTTCGAAACAAGTATGACAGTTGTGTTTTGGCTTCACAAAGTCAAGCCGCCTGTCGTCTTTCTTTACGGTAAGTTATTTAGGAAGGCCTTCTGCCCCTGAATTTATTTTAGCGCTTTAGTGGTAGTACTAGTTTATAATATTTGCAGCAATATTTTCAATTCTAAGAAATTCTCTTGGTTCGAAAAGCGGCAGTTACAAGAAAATCAAAATTTCGGTGCACAACATCACCTCAATTCATTCAAACTATTGACAGCTGCCTGTCTAAGTTTTTACAATTTATTTCTTAAATGCTAACCGGGGACTTCTTCTGACCACAAAATAAGCAGTTATGTGCATCTTAAGCAGCACAGACAAAGTTACAAACTATGTGTGAAATGAACACTTCTTGCTGTGATACTGGTAATGGTGCAGTTGTGAACATTTCATCCTACTGGGTTTTCATGCATTGCAAACAAATTATTTGTGCGACTATTTGAACGCATACTGCTTGTTTAGCACAGTATCGACAAGTACGCCAACCTTGACCTTGCGCTAATTACACAATCTATTACGTTCAAATAAGACATTCCTCAAGTTCATCACTCAATACCTACTATGAAAAAACATTACTCAATCTGTACACTGATGCCTCCCAAAATGTTTACAGTTTCCAGCCGATCACTGGCTAGGCAGCCATAAGCAATATGATAGGTAACACTGAAATTACATTCTGAAACATCACAATAGCTGCGGCAGTTGGCAAGTGCAAACGCGTTCATAACACTAAATGCTCAAGTGACAAAATACCTTTTGTAGTTAAATACGTCACATTCATGTTGATACAGTAATATGAATGCTGACTGAACATGAATTCAGTGTTTCCTCACATAACATTCACGATTGTACATGCGACAAATCAAACATCGTCATGACGCTAGAAATAACAACTGAATCTATCGTTCGTTGAACAGCGCTTTTCTTCATTTGACAGCAACTTTTTCAGTGCGGAACATAAGTACGTTTTCGAGCCCCACTTAGCCAAATCACGGCTCTACTATCACGGAGTAAAGCTTCTCTGTTCATTCAGAGAGTTCCTTTGATTCATAAACACTTGGACACTTCAAAGCGTAATCATTACACATCATAACAACCTACCAGTAGAGAAGTATAACAGTCATGCGCAATCGCATTCCACCACGTCCTATCGTTTTAGAATTGTCCCAGTGTGCGCTGGACGTTTCCACAGCCAGTACAGACGTTCGCATGGATCGTACATCTACACCAACACCACACAAAGATTTTCGCACACGCATTTACAATCACGCATGCTTTGTACCCGCCTGTAGTACTTCTTCAGTGCATCGTGGTGTTTGTTCATTGAACGCAGTCGGCTGCGACCACGTATCGCACATTCCATCTAGGCGAAGACACTTGCTCCGACGACTAAAATCTGCTTCCGTCCATCGATGGAGACGATGACAGGGATCCGCACCCGAGCGTGAGGTGCAGTTCGCATGAACCACCGGATATGCACATCTGGCAACGCCGTGATGAATGCAGCGGATGAACAGCCACTATTACGTCAATCCGAAACTGCGAAGTGACTGGCAGTTCCAAGCTACCTACGAGCAAGAAGCGGCAACGTCACAACTGTCCCTTCTTTACTTTCAAAGACGCCAGGCGTTCTCTCACGAGGCACTTAAGTCGTCACACAGTGGGAATAAGACGCAACGGCGCCAGACTTGGCGTTCACGTGCAAACAATGACGATAGCTCTGGTGAAGCGGTCACACGTCGTGGCTCTGTAGCGTCGAAGACATGTGGTGACCGTTGGCATTCATGCCTGCTGCCGGTCCCCTGTTGCTGCTGTACGCATAGGGGAGCGTGATGGCTGACGTTGTTGTTGTTGTTGTGTCTGGGCGGTGCGTGTGGTGGCGAAGGCGGGACGCCAAGGTTGATCCTGGCTATGCTGGTGGCGGTGGGGGGCGAGGTCAGGCTCTGCCCGTTGACGGTTACGTTGGCGTATATCGGCTGTGGTCCGGCAGCGAAGGTGACCAGCCCGTTGGGGTTGTGCCGAATGCCGTTGCTGTGAGGGGCGCCGCTGTTGGCGTCGGCAGCCTCCAGCGCTAATCGGGAGAACGACATCACCGTGGCGTTGTCCTTTTCCAGGCCGCGGTTGACGTCAACGTTCTCCGTGTTCTTCACCCGCTGGGCCTTCCTGTAGGGGGCGATACTGATCACACTGGCTAACGCGCCATCTGAGTGGGCGGCTTCACCCATGTCTTTTACTTATGGGTATAAATCCTATCACCTAATATGACTAAACTCCTTAACGATGAGAAGGTGCGACACCAAAGATTCCCGCTCCTCACGAAAGTGTAAATATCCGCCAAATCAAGCATTACCCATAATAATCTTCCTAATAATGTTTGAAGATTTACCACTGTTTAATTTCTAACCAGGGACTATCCAAATTTGCGAATGCACACAACTACATCAAATACACAACTACAGCTATATCAGAAGAGGGTCAGCTCTATATTATAACCTAACTTTACCCGAAATACACGATACGATATTTCCACTCCTAATTCTGTTTTGAGTAATGTGAGCACAACACAACGGCCCACTAGCGACCCAGTTATGTACGTGACCAGGATGTCTCAGTTTGATGTCGAGCTAACCTACCACCTCTTGGAACACACCATAGGGGGCACTTAGCACATTCGTCTCAAGTGTGGTTTATTTTCAGAGCAACAACATCGTACCTAATAGCAAAACAAAACATGACTGTAGTTTATCCTCAATTTACATGTTCAACAAGCCCTACATGTTCATGTTCATGTTACATGTTCAACAAACCACAAGGATGAATGAAAATGTAGCTTTTGAATCACACTCACTATGCTCAATATGGGTGTTCGTAGTCAAGCAAATTTGGAAGGACGTCATATTCACCCTCGCTGGTTACTGAGACAGAGTTAAGACCTTTTATTAACTTCAACCATTTATGTTCAAGCCTCCAGTTTCTCCCAAAAAGCTGTTCACGTGATCATGGAGGCTTGACCTGACAAAAATTGTCTAACAGCGAACCTCGCTGTATCCAATGTTTTACGAAGTTAAACTGTCTTCCTGAGGACAGGAAATCATTTTAAATAATATGAGTTGTTGGCCTGAGAAAGACAAGTCCACTAGCTGAAAAGTCGGCTCCACCAACCTTGCACGTACAGTTATTTTTCACTTGCTGAGTAACTAGGCGCGACATAATGCTAAGTTAAGTCATTGCGTTATATTGAAGTTATACAATGTTACAAAAGTCCGGTTCGACTACAAATCTAGAGTTCATGAAAAAAGGATACTTACGTTCTCATCCAGACGATGGCCACTACAATAGCGATCACAAGCAGAGCTCCGGCACCAACAGCAATAGCGATTCCTACAGTTCTCGAGGAATCGTAAGTGAAGTCCGCACCTGCAATGCAGTTTTGTGTCACTCAAGTTTGCTATACTCAACCTACAAAAACAAAAAAGGCATTAGGACGCTCACGATTGCTGTCGGCACCTTCTATGTCGTTGCCAATCATCGGAATATCTGCAAAAAAAAAGAAGCGTGGAAAACATGAGCTTTGTGTACCTCATGCAAATGAATCGCTAGTTGAAAACGCAAACAGGCGACAGGAATTCCACATGCTCTACTCAGATATGATGCTTTCAGCTAGTAGAGAACGCAAACAGGCGACAGGAATTCCACATGCTCTACTCAGATATGACGCTTTCACTAGCAAAAAATACTAGGCCTGTGGCTACCAGGGCTAAATGAGAAAGCAACAAAGGCAGTGCTAATGCACTTCAACGCTTCTTTGAATAGTATTAAACGTTGCATCTAACTCCAAATCATCTGAATGCTGACTCTACGAATCCATGAATTAATTTATATCCTGGATTTCATGCGCTCATTCCTGTCGCAGAGCCCCGTGAAGCAGTGGGAAAATTATGTCACCTATGTCGTCATCTCCTGATAGTGAGCATCGCCAGGGGGTTGTTTCGAGACAACCGATGACGGGTATCAGCTTATCAACTTCCGTTTCACTCTTACAATGTGCTGCATGCTGGGTATCACCACATTTTTTTTTCTGGTTTGGATTAAGTGTGGGACCCATTTTGTGGCGACCAGCGAAATTCCCAATTAGTTTCGTAATTAGGCCCTTTATATAAAGCTTGGATGTACAAGACCTCGGAAAGACGTGACACGCACAGGTGCTATGTTACGCCTGTGCAGGTCACGACTTTCTTCACCCTCGTCTTTCCTTGCACTATAGACAGTTTCAAGATTGGCAGCGTTGCCCCCCCCCCCCCAAAAAAAAAAAAAAAAACTTCCGGTCACTTCATTTACCAGCTCGTAACGCCGAAACTAAAACAACGTCATCACGTTTTTTCAAGGGTGGTGAGAGTGTCTTATTAATTTTTCGCATGAAAAGAACGTGCGTAATGTTCAAGGCAATCTCTTATAGTTTCTATGTAGTTCAAAAGAACATTTATTTGAATATATTATGCCAAATTATGGAAGAAAAGTGTAGAAAATCAGTGGGCTATTTTCTAACGCTCTTCTTGCCCACCTATGCTATTCAGGCGCATCGGTGGACGAAACCAGAAGTGATCAAGGGCCTATAATCCAACAACACTGCATTGCTTCACTTTCATCAAGGGTCGAACTCTCACCGGTGCAACGTGGTTCTTGTCCACTCCAGCGGCCGTCTTCCCCGCAGGTCCTGAGGGCGTCGCCGATGAGCTTGAAGTCGTGCAGGCACTCGTACTCGACCATGCTGCCGAACGTCGTGGTCCCGTTCATGATCAGTCCGCGGCCATTGCTGATGACCGACGGGTTGCCGCAGTCCACCACTGCAGGCGAAACGAGATGCATGACACGTGCGAGCACGCGTTACGATACGCTTAGGTTGGCGCATGAATTTATGATTTAGTAGTGTGATAGCAGCACCAGAAAAATCAGGTTGTAGAACTGTATATTAATTCCGTTTGCTTGACGGTCTACAAAGCATGGAATAATAAGTGCAAATCTAAGCTTTGACCCCCGAGCAAAACAAGGCGTCCCACTTACGAGTGCAATTTGGGGCTTGCCCGCTCCAGCGACCGGTGCTCTGGCAGACTCTGGTGCTGAGACCCTCCAGTTCGTAGCCTGGCTCACATGAATACTCGACGGACGAGCCGACCAGGCTGCTGGAGAACTTGATCACCGTCCAACTGTCGCTAGCCTTCGGCTCCGGGCAGCGAACCTCTGCGCAGTAGGTTAGAGGGCATTGGAAAATCACGTGAACGAAAAACGCTGTGGCAGTGAGAGAGAGAGAGAGAGAGAGATAAAAATGCAAGGAAAGGCAGGGTGATTAACCAGACACACATCCGGTTTGCTACCCTGCACTAGGGAAGGGATAAAGGGGAGAAAAGAGGTTGCAGAAAGATGAGAAGGTACACACAATCACGAGCACACTCGGGGAGCACACACAGTGCCTCCAATCACTCAGTTGTGGCAGTCAAGGGTTAAACATTATACCGACGCTCGATATGTGAAAAAAGTTCCAGGATACTGACGAGCGTGTACTCTTCAAATCAGTTATGTCGGCGGCCAACATAGCGTTCATGGGACGCAGCTCACCCACCAATGCGCTAAACACTGTTGTGGGGCAAACACTGCGGGAAAAAAATGGTGCTTGCCGATGTGAAACCTATCGATACGTCTACCAGATTTCCGCTCAATGATTCCGGTTTTAGGAGGAAAAGCCATGAGAGCTGAAGGTTTCGTATTCCATGTTTCAACGTGAAATGACAATGCAAGAATGCAGAAAAATTATAGCGCCATCATGATTCATTGATTTATTGATTCCGTTTCACTTTATCTTAATCAGCTTGCTGGCCCGGATCCTGGCTCTGTCAAGAGCGACATTACAAAAAAAATAAAGTGAAACACAAAAAAGATACATACAAAAAAAGACAGAGACCTGAAATGCAAATGGAACTCAGTGGGAAAAAGTGTGTACACTTCACAGAAAATCTTATAACAAAAAGACTTGCATTCACGTGAAGACAGCTGCTTTGTATGAATTAATGTGAGAACTCTGTGGCCTGTGAACATATGGGCAAAATCTCACAATCATTGGCTTATCAGCACGTCGGTGCCACTCCAACAGAGTAAAAAAGAAGGTGATGACTTCCGATGCGTGCAACTCCAATAACTCTCGATCGCAGAGCTAGTTGCTTTGCCTGCAATCACTCACTTTTAAAGGACTGCCGAGTTAACTTGTTCCGACCTTTTATAGGGCCTGAATCACAAAAAAGTACGGCCTATTTTTGTGTATAACCTGCATAAAAAAACTATCACACATGCACTGGTAATGTCCGGCTTTACCGCAGGGACCCCTCACCAGTGAGTCCGACTGGGAAGAGGCCCCCATGATCTCCAAGCTCCACCACCAACTAAAGGCGGTCCATAGGACCCATTGACTGGCGAAATGCCACCACAATCCCCACCCCCACCCCCACCCCAACTCGCGCGTCGCTTACAGAATTGGCTGCTGTAGAGTGTCTCTCGAGGACGTCCTGGCGCTTTGAACTCCACAAAACCTCTTAATAAAAGTTTCTACTGACCGATGAGCATTCTCTGAGCTTTACGCTTGCTAAAAGCCGTCTCTACATACAGGATATTTGTATGGCAGAGTTCACTCACTTCTTAAAAATGGTGTCAGTACCCGTTTGAGGCTTTATTACGACCTGTTTGTGGTTTTTGACAGAGTATGACGAGACTTATTCTCACCGAGGCATAGTGGTTCGGGTCCGCTCCAGGTACCATTCTCGAGGCACAGGCGTCGGGGTGCACCGTCCAGGTGGTAGTTCTTGTCGCACTCGTACTCGACCGTGGCTCCGTAGTGAGTCGAGTTGGTCGACAACAGCCAGTGGCCATTGCCGATCGGCAGAGGGAAAGTGCACTCCACGTCTGCGCAATGTCAGGAAAGTATTCATTGTTAGGAAGATATGAAACGGGTTAATAGTAATATATAAAGGGTCAATTAAGCCTGAATGAAACACTTGTTCGCTGCAGTCACACGTTTTCCACAGATTATTTTGTTCTAGTGACCCCACATGTCAATAGGATAACCAACTTTTCAGGCATAATTCTTCATTGTCGGCAGCCACTGCATGAACGATTGGCACGAAATTCCTTGCAAGTGTTTGGCGGATACCACGCTTCTCAGAAAAACGCCTGGTGTTTTTTTTAAACTTAGTTCTTTATCTTTTTATGCAACACTGGTTACAGAATCCGGCGGCGGCGGCGCCGAAAAACTACAGCGCACGGGACTATTGTTGTCATCTCATAACAGCTTTCTTGTAAGAAGAAAAGTTATGCAATCACTCGGACAGGTAAATTATTTTGGCTGGCGTAAATGCATTTTATTACAACAAATGCTCTTATAAGATCGCAACACGGGTCACACGTGGCACCATAGTTGTCCGCCGCCACTGGTATCCGTAACCACTATCGCACGAAATAAAAAAAAAACCTAAATAAAAACCACCAAGTAGATATTGGTATTCGAACCTAGGTCCCCTGTGTGCCAGCCTAGTATTCTACCGCGGAACCCCGGCAGTGCTTGGGACTCATTCGCAAACTTGCCTTAGGCAGGCTTTATATCGGGAGAGGAATCGCGTTATTACGAGTAATGAAGCGTTTTAGAAAAGCAACTGAACAACCAAGCGTCACATATTGCGAATTGTGGGACGTAACGAGTGGGTCGTTCATGGCTCCCACACATTACAAAATCTTTTTCTTCATCGCCTTGTAGGCTTATGCCACAGGAGCGAAAGAAAGACACGCCTGAACGATAACCGATGCCAGCCAGGAACGCGAGCCGTGGCTTCACGTGCCACGGCCTAGCGCCTTCTTTATTTTCTTCTCTCGCCATCGCGCGCTCTCCGGTTTGCGCGCCGCCCGAACGAGGGCGCTACAGGGCCCCCCGTGTAGACTGGAAGTCGGAATGTGACATGCCGTTTGTGGTGTTCCAACGGAAGATCAGTCGTAGATGAGAGGCTTTCTAGGGCGGTCTCCAGGTACGCCGGCTTGAGTCGGTCCAAGCTGACTGTCTCTTCACGGCCGTTCTGAAGTAGAGTGGCAGTTTTGGGGGTGCGGTGAAGGACGCGGAATGGTCCGTCGTAGGCTGGTGTCAAAGGTGGTCTGACCGCGTCGTGGCGCACGAAAACATGTGTTGCAGTGGCCAGATCAGGGTGGGCGAATATGGTCTTGTGTTCGGAAGGTTTGGGTGGAGTGGGCCGGAGGTCTTGAACGCAGTCGAGGAGGCGTTGTAGGAATTGCTGTGGCTGGTCTGGTAGCTTCGTTGACGTGAAGAAGTCTCCCGGAAGCCGTAGAGAAGTGCCATACACCAGCTCTGCTGTTGAGCACTGCAGGTCTGCCCGGATGACAGCTCGTAAACCTAAGAGCACCAGTGGTAAGGCATCAACCCAGGTGGCTCTATTGAGGCGGGTAGTCAAGGCAGTCTTCAGTTGTCGGTGAAGGCGTTCCACCATGCCATTGGCGCAGGGATGATAAGCCGTGGTACGGCAATGTCTGGCTCCGAGGATGCGATTAAGGCAAGTAAACAGCGAGGACTCAAACTGACGTCCACGGTCTGTTGTCACGGTGCCAGGACAGCCAAAACGGGATACCCACGTAGAAATGAAACGCGGGCAACTGTCTCGGCTGTGATATCTTGAATTGGAACAGCCTCTGGCCAGCGTGTGAAGCGATCGACCATGGTCAATATATAACGGTACCCCTGAGACACTGGTAGAGGGCCCACAATGTCTAGATGAACATGGTCGAAACGACGGCCGGGTGGAAGGAAAGGTTGGGGCGGCGTCTTAGTATGACGGGAGACCTTTGTCATCTGGCAGGGCAGGCACATGCGCGTCCAAGCGCGCACATCACCGTTGATTCCGGGCCAGACATAGCGCTGGGTGAGAAGACGCTGAGTAGCCCGAATGCCAGGGTGACAGATGTCGTGTAAGGAGTGGAAAACGGTGCGTCTTAATGAAGCGGGAACGAAAGGGCGGGGAAGGTCAGCTGAGAAATCGCACCACAAGCGCTCAGATGATAATGGATGAGGCACCAGGCGTAGTCGGAGAGAACGGGGGTTCTCCCGAAAAGCGGCAAGCTCTCTATCATCCTGCTGTGCCGAGGAGAATGAGGCCCAGTCGATGGTTGGCGGTGGAGAGTCAACCGCGGCTATACGAGAAAGGGCATCTGCGGCGGTTGTCAGCTCCTTTCACGTGGTGGATGTCAGTCGTGAACTCCGATATATAAGCCAGATGGCGGAGTTCACGGGGCACGTACTTGGATGAGTTAGTGCGGAAAACATACGCCAGTGGCTTATGATCAGTCAGCACGTAAAACGAGCATCCTTCCAGGAAATGCCGAAAGTGCTGTATTGCAGCGTAGATGGCTAGTAGTTCCCGGCCAAAGACGCTGTAGCGGGTCTCAGCAGGAAGTAGCTTCCGAGAGTAAAACGACAAGGGTCTCCACTCGGAGTTAATGCACTGCTGTAAGACGGCTCCGACGGCCACGCTGGATGCGTCCACCATCAACCGAGTAGGGGCGTTGCTGCGTGGATGAATAAGAAGCACGGCGTTAGCGACCGCTTGCTTAGCAGCAGAAAAGGCGGCCTGGGCCTCTGACGACCAAGGAATGGCGGAGGACGGGCCGGTGGTCGACCGAAGGAGGTCGGTGAGCGGTCGTAGCAGTTCGGCACAGTGTGGTATGAAGCGCCTGGAAAAATTCACAAGCCCCAGGAATTGGCGTAATTGGCGCAGTGTTGTAGGCTGAGGATAATCCTGAATTGCTTTAATGTGGGACCGGAGAGGGCGTATTCCTTTGGATGATATGTGATGGCCCAAGAACTCGAGCTCAGATGCGCCGAAAGTACACTTAGAGGCGTTCACAACGAGGCCGTACTGCTCAAGACGTTGGAACAGAGCGCGTAGATGGTGCTCATGATCTTCAGGTGTGCGGCTGGCGATGAGGACATCGTCAAGGTACGCAAACACAGTAGGAAGACCCCGTGTGACCTCAGAAATGAACCGCTGGAAAGTTTGAGCTGAATTGCGGAGTCCAAAAGGCATCCGCACGTATTCAAACAACCCAAAGGGCGTCGTTATGGCGGTCTTAGGTATGTCGGCGGGCTCGACAGGAATCTGGTGGTACGCCTCAACAAGGTCCACTTTGCTGAAAATTGTGCAGCCGTCGAGGCGCGATGTAAAATCCTGGATGTTAGGTAGAGGATAGCTGTCGTGGACTGTCTTGGCGTTCAACGCTCGATAGTCCCCACAAGGACGCCAGTCACCAGGATCACGCTTTGGCACCAAATGCAGCGGGGAAGCCCAAGCACTTGAGGACGGGCGGATAATGCCGAGCTGCAGCATGTGGTCAAACTCCCGTTTAGCAATAGCTAGGCGGTCTCCGCACAGGCGGCGTGGTCGAGCGGCTGCCGGTGGACCCCGGGTGACGATGTGGTGTGTCACCGTATGTCTAGGCGGCTGAGTGAGGTTGCACGGTTTAGTTAACTCCGGGAAACTCGCCAAGATTTTTTCGAACGGTGAGGAAGGTATCAGCATGCGGATGGCCATTGGAGCGATGTCGGACAGGACTCCCGAGATGGAGAGACGAGTCTTACCATCTATGAGGCGGCGCCGCCGCACGCTGACGTCCAAATCGAAGTATGAGAGGAAGTCCGAGCCGATGATCGGTTGAACCACGTCTGCGATGACGAAAACCCACCGGAAAATGCAGCGAAGGCCGAAGTCGAGGGTGAGAGATCGGAGCCCATACGTTGCTATAGACGAGGCGTTGGCAGCACGAAGCACTTGCCCCTGTGACTTTGAACGATCAGCCTTAGTTGGGGGCACAACGCTAATTTCCGCGCCCGTATCTATAAGGAACCTGGCGCCCGATAGCTGGTCCGTGACCATGAAAAGGCGGCTGGGACGAGAAGGGAGATCACACGCCGCCGTCAGTGATCCCGGCAGGCGTTTCCCTGCCACGAACATGGGGGTGTACACTTCGTGGCTCGGTGTCGGAAACGCTGATGGTACCAGCAGAGGGGTGGAGGGCTGGGACTCCGAGCATCTCGTGTGCGTGGAAGAGCTCGACGACCGGAACGAGGCGAACGAGTCTCCTGCAGGGGGCTCCGGAGTGCGGCAATGGAGGCGGCGAGTTCGTCGATGCGGGCCTCAAGGCGCGAAATTGCTGTGACTGCTGGTGGTAAGACAGCGTTGACAGATGGGGAGGTCGCTTCATGAACCTGATCGGCGAGCTCCGCCAGGCGGTCGAGATTGACGTCACCGGCCGCCGCGAGGACGAGGCGGATTGGCTGAGAAAGGCGTTGGAGGAAGAGCTCGCGAAGCAACGCTGAGTGGGCAGAGACGTCGTGTTTCCCAAGAAGCTGTCGCATTCGGCGCAGTAGTTGGGAGGGGCGCCTGTCGCCAAGGTCCCCCTCTGCAAGGAGCTGCTGTAGGCGGACGCGTTCCGAAGGCATGAATCGTTCCAGCACCTTGGTTTTAAGGTGCTGATATGGCGTAGTGTCCGAGGGGTTGGAGAGGACGTCGGAGAGCTCGCTGGCAACGTCAGGAGGAAGGACGGAGGCTACGTGGTAGTAGCGTGTCGTTTCCGAGGCGATGCGGTACAGGGAGAATTGCGCCTCGACCTGATAAAACCAAACTTGCGGGTCCTGTGGCCAGAAAGATGGGAGACGCAGTTGCACGGCCGAGACGTCCTGCGGACGTGAGGCTTGTTCGGTTGAGAATGCATTCGAGTCAGTCATTGTCTTCGTCCGAGGTCACCACTTGTAGGCTTATGCCACAGGAGCGAAAGAAAGACACGCCTGAACGATAACCGATGCCAGCCAGGAACGCGAGCCGTGGCTTCACTTGCCACGGCCTAGCGCCTTC